TAGAAAATTAAATATGCATTTACTATCTCATCTGGCAAGCATAGTCCTGGACATGTATCTCAGGTATATGGAAGTCTATACTGATATAAAAACTTACCCAGAAATGTTAGCAATAGCTTTATTTATAATAGTCATCAACTGGAAACTAAGCAAATGACCTCTAATTTGTGAATGATTAAACAAGCCCTGATACATTCATGTCATAGAGTATTATCCAGAAACAAAAAGAAACAAACAATTGACATGTACAATGGCCTTCATGGATCTCTTCCAGGCATATGCTGAATGGAAGAAAAAGCCAATCTCAAAAGATCATATGCTATGATTTGAGCTCTTTAATTATCAAAATGACAAAAGTATGGAGATGGAGAACAAATTTGAGGGTGTTGGACTAAGGGGTTGGTAAGGAGAGGACGTGGGTGTGATAAAGGATGGAGCTGAGATGATGCCTTTGTATTGGAGCAGCTCTTTACCTTGAACACAGTGGTACTTACAAAAAACCTATATGTAAACTGGGTGGAGGTGGAGGACACTTTTAATCTCGGGAGGCAGAGGCAGGCGGATCTCTGTGATTTGAGGCCAGCCTGGTCTACAGAGCAAGTGCCAGGACAGCCAGGGGTACACAGAGAAACCCTGTCTCAAAAAAACAAAACCAACTACATGTGCCCCTTCGGGTCATGGCTGCAATACGATACAATTATGCAAGATGGAAGCACACAGAAGCATAAATACTCTGGCTCACATGTCAAAGAAACTTGAGAGAGATTTCTCCAAATTTGACAATTCAAAAAACTCCTATGACATTACCAATGAAGAAAAGTGAAACTGAATCTTTTCTAAAATACTAATAATATCAAGTTTTGATCACCCATCCTCCAAAGATTTTTATTTCTATATATTATCTATGAATAATATGACAAAATTGCATGGTGAAGGGACCAAAAAGTAGACAGATAAAAAGCAGCAAAGAAGTATTACAGGAACTGTTGGTTTTCCGCTCAGCAGAGTTGCTCACTTCTTACCAACTGCAGTCGAGCTGGGCCATCACATGCTTCTCAGAAAGCTGCCCACATAGTCAGCTCTGGGAAGGACTGTTTTCATGGCCCACATTTTGAAAAGGTCATGAGGAAGTGCAAAAAAATCAACTCTCTACTCTCAGTGGAAAATCACTTGGTTCTATTTGTACCAGATATGTTTATGGGTTGAAAAAAAGAAAAGGACTTATGAAATGCACATGATATAATCTGGTCCTGAAGAGTCAGGGGACAGGGTGACCAGACAATTCCTGAGGGGGCTAGGATTTTTATATAGTTTAGGGAGCCACTTTAAATTACTCATATAAAATCAAGCATAAATATGAATATTTTATGAACATATAAAAGTGAGTTTTATGAATAGGGTGAGAAATTATGACAGACTTCAAAGTTTTCATAAACTCCTGTTAAGTTCTATAATATTCTTCAATATTTTCAAAAGCCCATGATAAATACCAATATCGCAGAGTCTGAGAAAATTACAAAATGTTGCTTATTAGCTATCTGCTAACCAGCAGTTCTTGCTTGAAGAGTCCTTTTGTGATCACTCACTATGTCCAACAGGTAATGCCTCTTGGTTTTGTGTGTTCAGTTGGCCCTCCTTATGTATGGGGGGGCGGGGAATTCAATCAATCCCAAATTAAAAATATCCCCCCCCACAATTGCTTCTGTACTGAGCATATAGACTTTTTTCTTGTCATGATTCCCCAAACAATGTGGCACTACAGTTGTTTACATAACATTTACATTGTAGGAAATATCAAAGGCTTTTAGAGACCACTTAAAGTATTTAAGATGACGGGCATGGGTTCTGAACAAATACCCCATTTTTGTAAGGGCCTTGAGCATCTCTAGGGTTTATTATTCATAGAGAGTCCTGGAACAACATTTTCAAACACCAATTAAATATTCGTGCATCTATTTGTGATGTTCTAAGTGTTCTGTAGGTAAGGAAAGAATTACAGGGGTTAGACAATGAGGACGTGTCTCACTGGTACAGCACTTGCCTAGCATGTTTGAACCACTCGTTCTATCACTTGCAGCACACTTAAAAACCCAGATATCTTGGCCTTTGTTCTTAGTTACATGATGGTGAGTTAAGGTTTTTAATGCATCTTTGAAGTCTATGTTCTTATGCAGCTTATTCCAATTCCTGGGAATAGCAAAAAATGATAAGCATTTAGAGATCTGCTTTAAATTATTTATATAAAGTTAAGCATAAGTGTGAATGTTTTCTGAATACATAAAATACATTTTTATGAGTAGAATGAGAAATAAATCATAATAGTCTTCAAAGTTTCCAAAAACTTCTGATAAGCTACATAGTATTGTTCAGTATTTTCAAAAGCCCATGATAAATACAAATATCAAAGAGTCTGAGGAGGTTATGAAATTTTATTTGTTGCCTGACAATTTTCTATACAAAATGAGCATCTTTATTACAAAAATCTTCATCTGGCAAAAAGTAACTTCACAGGTCAATTATACCCTGCAATTATACCCAGGATCAATCACCTGTCTTATCCTCATGCTACCACAAAAAACAAAGACAGTACTATCTGATGTCTCAAATTGGATGTCACAGAATTAAAATTTCTTTCTTCGGGTTTATATTCTCAAGGATAGACTGTGTTATTTAATCCGACCTTTAGTATTAATGCTAGGAAGTTGAAATTCGAAACACTCCACATTTTATGCAGAAGGCAGTCTTCAGCATTACAACCCTTTTTATAGATGGAAGGCACAGTGAGCAAGTCTTGGCAAGACTTCCTGAATTCCAATCCACCTCATCCTCTTAATACTCTGCTACCTGCAGTCAAATCGTTGCCCTGTGTCTCATTTCCCCAACTCTACAATAGAGACTTCAGTATTATCTCCACTATGGGAATGTTCTGAGAACCATATCTTAATACATAGGCATGGAAACGCAAATAGCACCTGCAACGCAAGCATGAGTGAGGACCCTGATTGTCACCAAGAAGCCTTGATCTGCAGACTGAGACATACTAGCCCAGAAATGGCATAGCTGGCAGTGGCCAAACCCAGGAATCCCTGCCTACCATTATACCATTAGTATAAAAGCCTCAGGTGGAAGAGGCCATTTTCTCAAATCCCGCTTCTTTCCTCTGAAATGTGTAGGAGCTCCAGCTGTCTTTGGCATTCTGCGTTCTAGAGGGAAAACAAACTAAAGACCAATAGAGAAAGATATACTGCCACCTTGTGGCTCTTTGGAGAGTGACTCTTCAGGCATTTGCATTACTTGTGGTCATGAAGTCTCTTCACAGGAATAGAAACCCTAAGACAGTCTGGGGGGCGGGGGAGACATACCAAAATGGATGGATATGGCATTTTCTATGTAACTTTCATCTGTTATATAGCCCCATGACATCTTTTGTGTGTAGTCTGTAGCTTTGTCTAACAAATAACAGAGGGATGTTGACCTGAGTTTGATTTTTTTATTTTCCCTTAATTCTCCCGACTCTACTTCCCAAGCATTAGAATTGCAGCCTATAGTTCGTGATCCTAGAGAAACTAAATAATAAGGTGAACCCAAAGAAAAACATATATTTATCCTCCTGGAAATTGGAAGTAGACAAGATCGCCAGGCAAAAGTTGGGAACATGGGGTGGGGGTGGGATGAGGGAAGGGGAGAGGGGGAGAGAGAACGGACAAGGGGAGGATTGGGGAGAGCTTGGGGGAGTGGGATGGTTGAGATGGAGGAAGGGTGGATATAGGAGCAGGGAAGAAGATATCTACATTAAAAGAGCCATTTTAGGGTTGGCAAGAGACTTGGCTCTTGAGGGGTTCCCAGGTATCCACGGGGATGTCCTCAGCTAGGTCCTTGGGCAGCATCAGAGGAGAGGGAACCTGAACTGGCCTTGTCCCATAGCCACACTGATGAGTATCTTGAATATCATCATAGAACCTTCATCTGGCAATGGATGGAGATAGAGACAGAGACCCATATTGGAGCACTGAACTGAGCTCCCAGGGTCCAGTTGAAGAGCAGAAGGAGGGAGAACATGAGCAAGGAAGTCAGGACTGTGAGGGGTGCACCCACCCACTGAGACGGTGGGGCTGATCTAATGGGAGCTCACCAAGGCCAGCTGGATTGGGGCTGAACGAGCATGGGATAAAACTGGACTCTCTGAATGTGGCTGACAATGGGGGCTGACTGAGAAGCCAATGATAATGGCACTGGGATTTGATTCTACTGCATGTACTGGCTTTGTGGGAGCCTAGTCTGTTTGGATGCTCACCTTCCTGGACCTGGGTGGAAGGGGGAGGACCTTGGACTTCCCACAGGGCAGGGTGCCCTGACTGCTCTTCAGACTGGAGAGGGCAGAGGGGGGAGGGGGAGGGAAATGGGAGGAGGGGAGGAGGTGGAAATTTTTAATTAAAAAAAAAGCTCAAAAAAGAAAAGAAAAGCCGGGCGGTGGTGGCGCACGCCTTTAATCCCAGCACTCGGGAGGCAGAGGCAGGCGGATCTCTGTGAGTTCGAGGCCAGCCTGGTCTACAAGAGCTAGTTCCAGGACAGGAATCAAAGGCTACGGAGAAACCCTGTCTCGAAAATTCAAAAAAGAAAAGAAAATGTCATCTCCTTTTTGCACGGAAGCAAGAAAAGGCACTGCATACAAAATCCTAAGAAAGCAAAATCTACTTGCCTCTTTTGGCTGCTGGCTAAGGAGCTGGCTAAGGAGCCAGCTCATCCTAGTTTCTGTGTGTACTGATAATCCTATTTTCGATTGTTTTTTTAGAATTCAATGACAATTTTGTATCCTGAAAAATCCCAATACTCTAAATTTTAATTTTAAAAAATCTAAAACACCTCCTCCCCACACACATTGCTTAAACCAAAAGAAGGAAAATCTTTCACAAGCACAGCCTGCACAGCACCTTGAGCTTTCTCAAGAATTATGACAACTGACACATTTGGACGCAAAATTGGCTTGGTTTCAAACTGACCTTATATTGAGCCATGACAGCATTGGCGTGGTGCCTCCACCGATGACTCATACAGTGAAGAAGACAATAAGCAGCGTGGTTGTGAACATCATCTGGCGGGCATAGGATGTCGTGTCACGGATAGCAAGTGCAAATGCCATTGCTCCCCTCAGGCCTATGGGACCAAACAGGAAGATCTTCTGGTGATGTGGGAACCTGGTGATAATTCTTCAGAATGCACTGCCACTGTGGGAATAATAGAACCCTAGCCATATGCTTTGGGAGCCCAGCTGCTTAAGCCAGGTAGAAGCACCTTAAAGGTGTATGGTTTTCTTCCCTTTGAAGCTGGCTTGCACAGAATTCCCAGCATAAGAAGAAAAACAGCAGCACTTTGTATGGCAGAATACTAACCGCTCTTATTATTTAAATGAATCTTCTCCTAATGACTGGAAAGGAAAAGAAGCTTGCATAATAACAAGCTCTAAGTCTTCTATCCGAATACCACGCAGTCAACAGAAATGTTGCCTGACTATGAATGTGTGGAACTGGACATTTATGGAAAGCAGGGCAGTATTTTTCTTCGTAAAGGAAGGGGTAGCACACGGAAGAGTAGAAAGATAGGTTGATGTGTAACAGGATCTTGAGACAGGGTCTCATTTAGCCCAATATGCAGCCAAGCATGACCTTGAGCTTCTGATCCTTCTGCCTCCCCCTTTCTTAGTCTGGAATTCCAGACGTGTGCTTTAAAGCCAAGTTGTTTATATTTTAGTCATATTATCATTGTTTGCTAAATAAAATTTATTTTCTTTATATATTATATAAATATATTTTACCTGAAAACATCACCATGTGTTGAAAATTCCAACCAATCTTGTGCCTTCTGCCCAGGTTGAGGAAGAAGGAGAGAGGGTAGATATGCGCAGCTCTGCCCAGGAAGATGGCAACCTGACCACCAGGCGAGGTTAAGGAGCCCACACGTTTCCAGAACGGCACTTCAAATACTCTGGTTGAGCACAGAACTTTAGCAGTGCTGTGATGTAGGGCTGCCCAAAGAAGTCAGAATGCCTGGACTGCCCATCGCAAATCTCTCAGCAACAAAATGGCAGTCATTTGGTCAACTTTCCCACTTCTTGGTTCATTATACAGCTTATCAACACATGGTTGTACCTTTTGAACTGAACTGAACTGGTTCAATTGACAGGCTTGCCAATTTCTCTAAAACTAACTCCAGAAGTAATCTAAAGTAGCATAAGATTGAGAACTGGACAAGGCACATACTATGCTGGGTTCTACTAGAGGGAAAGAGCCAGCAAGTTTCATTCGCAAGAAAACATTAGGGACTTCAATGCCTAGGGAGCACACAAAAATAGATGTGAGGAACCCTCAAGTAGTCTTACCACAAAGAGACATTCACTCACACAAATGAACTCAGAGAAAGTTTCTGGTATGCAGCTTAAATGACCTTTGGGGATGTTAGAAGTAGAAAAGGATGAATGTGAACAGCAAAGAGTGCAGAGAAACCAGTCATCCTTTCCTTGCTAAGTTTAAACAGCACCCAACAGAGAGAGCTGCACAATCCCCTGGTCAGAGAAGGAAACACAAGCAGGAACCAGCAAATAGAGAGTTTCCGCCAAGCAATGCACCAGCTGCAACTGTTTCAGACAGAAACGAGAGCCAAACTAGCTTCCTCCAGGGTAAAGTGTAAACTGTTTTCCTGCTTTTTTGTGTTTGGTTTTGTTTTTAACAAAGGGAAACGGGTAAAGCATATTCTATCTCAGAGGTGAAGGAAGAATCCTCAAGTGGTCAGCAGCCTTTAGGATTTCCAGAGGATGTGGCTCACCCAGCCAACAGGCCCTGTTCTATAAACAAGGCCTTCCCCCACTATCTCTTCCACTATGACGTGCAGGAAATACAAATCAGAGCAACAAGCTAAGTCTGAGTGAAGAAAAACTAATCTAACAGATTCTAAGCTGTTCCTCTAGTGTGAAGCCATTACGAAGATCCTAAACTAGGGTGCCAGCACTGTCACTCTCGAGCAGTCAAGAAGGGACAGCCCTCACATTCTTGCACATGAAATGAAAATCCCAGAGGAAAAAAAATACTCTTTGAAGACAACATTTAAGAGTTAAGGAATCCCAGGAGGCCTAAAAAAAGGCAGAAAAAGAAGAGAAGAGAAGAGAAGAGAAGAGAAGAGAGAGAAGAGAAGAGAAGAGAAGAGAAGGAGCAAATGTCCAACAATCTTGAAATCCAGGGCCAGAAAAGCTTACTTTAATGAAAACAATAGTATCTAAAATCAAGTGAGCCAAACCCTTCGCCACTGAGCCATTGCTAGGTACTCAACATCCGCCCTTTTTGTTTTTTGTTTCTCTTTTTTTTTATTTTTATTTTTTGGTTGTACTATCCTTTTTTATTTTTTAAAAAAGAAAACAAACTATCTTTTTTCATTTTACATATGAATCCCAGTTCCCACTTCCTCCCCTCCTCCCATTCCCTCTACCTGTCCCCCAAACCCCCATTCACTCCTCAGAGAGGGTAAGTCATATTGCTTTGGGGAAGGTCCAAGGCCCTCCCTACTATATCAAGGCTGATCAAGGTATACATCCAAAGAGAATGAGTTCCCAAAAAGCCAGTACCAGCAGTAGGGACAAATCCTGGTGCTACTGACAGTGGTCCCTCAGTCTGCCCCAGCCATGCAACTGTCAACCACATTCAGAGGGTCTAGTTTGGTCCTATGCTGGTTCCTTCCCTGTCTGCCTGGAGTTGATGAACTCCTATTAGCTCAGGTAGACTGTTTCAGTGGGTGAACCCATCATGGTCTTGACCTCTTTGCTCATATTCTCACTCTTCCCACTCTTTAACCGGACTTTGGGAGCTTAGCCCAGTGCTCCACTGTGGGTCTCTGCCTCTGTTTCCATCAATTACTGGATGAAGGTTCTATGGTGATATTTAAGATACTCATCAATCTGACTGCAGGGCAAGGCCAGTTCAGGCATCCTCTCCACTACTGCTTAGATTCTTAGCTGGGGTCATCCTTGTGGATTCCTGGAAATTTCTCTAGTGCCAGGTTTCTTGCTAGCCCCAAAGTGGCTCCCTCAATCAAAATATCTCTTTCCTTGCTCTCATCTCTGCCTTTCCTCTATCTCGACTATCCTGTTCTCTCAAGTAACATCCGTCCTTTCTAAGTCAAGCATCCAAAGTGTCCCCTCTCTAAACACTGTATTCTCAACAGCCAAAGTCAAAGAACTACATATTTTATTTTGTCTTTTCTTCTCTTTTCTCCTTCCTCTTTCCCTCTAATCTTATCAATTATTTTTATCTGTTCTTTTTTCTCCTCTCTCCCTCTTTGCAAACCAAAGGAGTCTCTCGGAGAATAATCCACAGGAGCAGGGCAGCTTGGGTGAGGGCAGCAGGGGGGTAGAGCTAGCCAAGTGGGACTATGCAGCCCACAGCAAGAGGATTAGTCACTAAAATCAGGGAACTAACTGCCTGGGTTACATTAACGTGGCAATGACATGTTAAAAATAATTGTGGGGACTGACAGGGTTATTGACTTTTAGATCTACTCGGGACAGAGCTCTACAAAACAAATGATAGCCTGTCAAGCACTAAATTAGAACAGAAAAATATCCAGACTTGAAATGAAATACATTCTGCTTTAAGAATTCCCCCCAAGTATCCTGAAGTAGAACTGACCCGCTTATCCATTCAAAACAGAGATGGTAATCCAATGATTGTTCTTAGTGGTTATACAGAGGTCAACTCTCTGTCTACAATGTGGAATAAATGAGAAAAGGATACAAAAGCACCAATGATGAAAATGGGGCTGAAAACATGCTTCTGGAAGGTGAACAGTGCTAGGCCCATATAGGAGAAGATGAAGTTCTCCGCCAGAAGGTGTAACACCTCAAAAAGCTGCATGAAGAAGGAAAGAGGAGGCCATGAACTCTGCAGTCCTCCTGCTGTGCTACCTGGCAGTCCATCAGGCTCAAGGGTCTCTCTTACCTGCTTGCTTCGACTTCTTGATTCTACTGACAGATTGTTGTATGTATAATGAGCCTGTGTAATCCCACAGAAAAGGACAGCTACAACACCTGTCAAAAGAGTTGCTAAAAATCAGTGAGAAAGAAGAAGCAAGGAAAAAATTGAACTGACAAGACAATTTACAGCAGGTGAGCCACACAGCCTACCTCCCCTCTTCCTCTCTTACAGGCTCTGCTGAGACCAGCAGTAAACCTACCTGTAAATCCACAGGCTTCAGCCAAAAGAAACGTGCTCCAGGACATCAGGAAAAAGAGCGCTGTCTCCAGCAGGGGGAAGCAGTGCAGCTTAGTAAACTTGGTCACGTCAGTACCAGGTTAAGGACAGCAGCTCTGGGCATGGGCAGCAGGGACACTTGAAGTCCCCATTCTTTTAGCCCTCTCAAAGGGCCACCCATCCCCTACACCTCCTTGGAGGGAGTTTTATCTCTCTTCTTTAAATGTTACAGTGTCGGGATGGAACTTAGGAGCCCTGAACATGCTAGGCTGGTTCTCGACCACTCTGCCATACACACTTTGTTAGTTCTTTTTTCTTTCTTCCTTTTCCTCTCTCCCCCCACCCCTGATAGGGTTTCTTTAATTAGCCTTGGCTAGCCTGGAATTCACAATGTAGAGCAGGCTGGCCTCAAACTCAGAGATCTACCAGCCTCTACCTCCCAAGTGCTGGGATTAAAGGTATGCGCCACCACACACAGCTCAATTTTACTTCTTTCTTTAAATTATTTATTTTTATTGTATGTACATTAGTGTTCTGATTGCATGTACATCTGTATGAGGGTGTCAGAAACCCTGGAAATGGGATTACAGACAGAGTTGAGCTGCCATATGGGTGCTGGAAATTGAACCCAGGTTCTCAGAAGAGCAGTCAGTGCTCTTAACTGCTGAGCCATCTCTCCAGTCCTGAGCTCAATTTTCAAGTAACAAAATTTTAAAAATATCAGCTTTCCAAGGGCTGGTGGTGTAGCTGAATGGTAAGCACTTGCCTAGCATGTTTGCAGTCCTGGGTTTGATCACCCCACCACCATACGAAATAAAAGAAACTTTACAGTAGAATACAGGTTACCAGAGTCAGAGCTGGAGTGCAGAGTTGTTGTTGAATTGGTACAGAGTTTCTGTCTGAGATGAGAAATAGCATTCTGGAAACAGGCAGTGGGAAGGGATAATCAACACTGTGAATGTATTTAAAAACTTAAAATGTGTATTTAATAACTTAAAATGGTGTGTGTGTGTGTGTGTGTGTGTGTGTGTGTGTGTGTAAGAGGGGGGACACTTGCCTGCTAAGCAAGCAAGTGAAGGTCAGAGGACAATCCGTAGGGAGTAGTTTCTTCTACCATGTGGGTTCCAGGAATCAAGCTCAAGTCATCAGGCTTGGTGGAAAAACTCCTTACCTGTTGAGTCATTTTGTTGGTTCCTGTACTTACTTTAAACTGTGTACTGAGGCAAATTTTATTATATATTACCATGATTTTAAAAATTAATGATATAAGGAATGCAAAACAATTGAGTTGCATGCTTTAAATGGGTGAACTCTATAGGAAATGAAGTACTATGATTCTAAGAATAAATTTCTGGCTGCAGGCTTGACTCACAGGTTAGTTCTCTCATAGGACTGGGAAGGCCTTAGGCAGATCTGGGAAGACAGGCTCTTAAGGCTCTAATTTCCATGATTAAGGCCTGACCCATGTATGGGACAGAAAAAAAAAGAAATCTATAATTCCTGGAACAGCAATGAAGTCCTGAGGTCTCCTTTTGAGAACAAAGGGAATCTTCCTCCTATCACAACCATTCAACATAGAAGCCATCAACATAGAAACAACTCACAAACAAGCTCACTGAGCAATTAAGCCTTCAGTACCAGGGCCTTTAAACAAAGCTAGCTTGATGTGTGTTTTATAACAAAGTAGCTGCTAGCTACTCTCAACATTTAAAATGTAGTTAGGCATAGCTGCGATTTTGCAAAGAGCAAAGGATACATATCTCAAAGACTAAAATAAAAAATCTCACTAATAATTTTCCATATTATCTATACTGGTTACACATAACATGGATGTGGTTTGTATTACATTCATTAGTAATGCCAATCAAAGAGAGGACTGTGATGGAGGTTTCAGCACATATGTAGAGGGACTGCAAGCTCTTTCCATGGTTTTCTCTTTATGTTTGGTTATTTTAAACTAAATATCATACTACCCTTTGTCATGGAAGACACAGTGGAAAGTTCAATAATTCTCACCAATTACTCTGGGTTAGTTATGGCTACCTTAATGTTCATAGTCCCTAAATAGCAGAAGCTAAAGTCCAGCCTGACCAGTGGTCACTGACTGCAAGCCTCCTCTGGGTTCCTCAGTCTCTTCATCCCCTATGATTAGTGTTCCAACTGGGTTATAAGGAAGGGAGAGAAGAAGCAAAGGTAAGGACAAAGCAAAATCTAGAGTTGAATTCCCCATCTTTATTTAGTATATCTTATGTTTCATTGATGGTATTTCCTTCTTTCACACTCTTGGGAAAAATTGCTTTACTTATTCTTTAACAATTTCATGCATGCTAGCAATGTATTCTGATCATATGTACCCCAACTCCCTACACCCCACTTCAGATGCCTCAACATATCCCCACCCCCATTTTCAATACCTCTTCTTTTGTAATTCTAAAGTCTTTTTCTCAGATTATTACTTAGGGGCCCAATCACTGTGCCTGACCCAGATGAGGAAGTACCACATCTCAGGAGAACAATCAATTTAAGATTCTGAGCTGAAAGGAGGAACTGAGAACTTTCTCTTTGCAAACACAATATCATGTATGTGTAGCCAGGCAGGGACCAAAACTTTTTTTAAAAGGATATTAAAGCAGTCACAACACCAGTTACAGCTCCCATCGTAAAAGAGCCACTAAATATACCTAGAAAAATGCCAACTGACTTAAAAAAGGCAGCAGCATCAAAAGCGTGGGTATTTAGTCCTGCTGGCTGATAGGCAACAATAGACCTGGAGTTTAAAAACAAAGAGAGAGAAAGTTTTGTTTTTGTTTTTATTTTTGAAAAGATGACCACACTGGTTTTACATCATGACACACTAAACAGTCCCGACCCTCCTTCACTATTTCACCTTCTGTGGTTTTAGTTACCTGAGGTCAACCTCAAACTAAAAACATGAACTAGAAAAATCCAGAAATAAACTCTTTATAAGTTCTAAATTATATAATGTTCTCAACAGCATGAGGAAATCTCCAACCATTCAGCTGGATCCTATCCATGACATGAATCACTACTTTCACTAATATAGCCACGTGCTATATGCTAACTGACTATTAGTCCATTAGAAACCCTTGAGGTTATCAGACTATAGCATTTATGTTCAAACAACCTTTATTTTACTTAATAACGTTTCCAACGAGAAAAAGTAGTGTTGCTGAAAATTTGGATCTGCCAAAGAGAAGTCATAAAATATTTATTACGTTAGTGAAAAGTTCAATAATATTTTGAAAGAGTAAGTTTGTTGCATAATTTTATTACAACTGAAACATTGTTTTAATTGTTCTACTTTAATATTAGTTATTGCTAACTTTCTACTTGTCTAATTTATATACTGAACTTTATTATTATAGATATGTATTTGTATGTATGTGAAAATGATCAACAGGGCTCAGTATGGTTTCAAGCATCCACAAGGGGTCTTAAACTATCCCCGAGGGATAAGGAGACTCACTGGAACTGAAAATAACAACAAACATGGAGTCTAACAAGCACTGCCCAGAGCAACTACATTTAATTTAAGCTGCAGCCACCATGCTATGCTGGCACCAGCATCCTGAATGCTGCTAAGGGACAAAGCCAGAAACATTATCCTACCCCCACCCCACCTCCCTCCAGAACCAGTTACTTACGAGGACAGTACAATGGCAACAGCATCATTCAGGACACTCTCTCCAAACAGAAGAGCATAAAGATCCACATCTGCATGCAGTTCATTAAAGATTGCCAACACAGTCACTGAAATAGAGGCCCAAAGCATAGAAGTTAGTTTGGGCTTCTGCCGTCAAACTAGAGATTGCAGGTTTACAGAGGCTATTTGTCTATTAGATGGTACAAGGTGGCCAGTAATAGTCTGTCTAGTAAATGACAAAAGGGAAAATGGTAAGCTTCTAATGATGAGGTTTGATGTGATCATTGAGTCTGATGACCCCTGCACCTAAGTACACTGCTGTCTGCGCCAAAGTACACAGCCCTAATACCGCCAACATACTGAAAATACCTTGTATAGAAATTGGGGGGTGGCGGGATAGAGGCACTTATGTAATTTGTCTCTTTTTGTGGGTTGGCAATTTTTTGAAGATAGAAATCCTTTTTTTTTAACCTTAGTACTCCCAGAACTCAGCACAAAGTCAGGGTGTAGAATAGACTGATAAAGGCTTTCTCCATGACAAATCACCTGTAATTATACTTGTTAGGAAATAAATAACTAAGAAAGGGTCTTTTATGTAGCCCAGGCTGTCGTAGAACTTACAACCCTCCTGCCTCAGTTCCCTGAACGTTGAGATTACAGACATGCACTGCCATGCCCGGGCCATAATTACACTTCTCCCAGTTTTCACATTTCTGAAGCATTTAAAAACCAATGATTCTCTGGATCAATATCTGAAACTTTTAACCTCCACACTCCTTTATATTCTAAGATCTGTGCTCCTAATACTGATATTTATTGAATACAGCATAAAATTAGTATTTGTGCATTTTAAATAATAACTTTTCTATACTAACATGAAATATTTTAATAAAAACTACACTTTCTGAAATAAAAATCTGGAAAGAAAAAGGGAATCCTTTTAAACTCTTGGATTACCAGATGTTTCTCACAGCTGTTTCTATATCTAAGGGACAGATAATAACACTATGTTCTTGTGCAGCCTCTGGAAGACTCCACTGTACATGTGGGAAAGATGAGAATAAAAAGACAAATAAGGTACGGCTGTTATTATGAAGTCAGTTTTAACCTGATGGGCCCCTTGAAAGGGTTTTGGGGAACCCCAAGTATTCTCAATTCATACACACTGAGACTTACTGCTAGAACATGGTTTCTCAACTTCAGCCTTACTCGTATTTGGGACCAGATAATTGCTTTGCTGTGGGGGTTGACCTGCGTACCATATCCCTGGCCTTTATCTGCAGAAGATGATAGAGAAAGACACATGCATCCAGCTTACCTCCACAAGGCAATGGAAGTGCCACTGAAACCCAAAGTAATATAGTAGAAAGATTAAGAAGGTCCTAGGTGCTCCCAGCTAGGAGAGAACTCATGGTATCAGGCCACAGGTGGGATTCAAGATAAACATCTAATTTTGTTTAAGCTTGCATCAGCCAGGTTTTCTGGTATTTGTAGCCAAAAGTACTACTACTTAGAGAAATAGAACACCAAACCAAACGCTTAGTTCAGTGAGTAATTAGAAGAAAGTCAGTTTGCTTACCAATCCAAGAATTTGCCAGCCCCCTTCATAAACATGTGTCCCATCCCAATCTCAAGCCCCCTTCACTCAAAAATAACCATTGTGTGAATTTTACAGTGACTTTCCCCTTTTCTTTATAGTTTAATAACCCAAACACAGACTGTCTGAAACTACCATTTTAAAGAAAATGGGCTTTAAACTAACCTCTTTCTCTCTGCTAGGTTCCTCCTTGATCCCCTTCTGTGAGCTCTTTTCTCAAGGTGCCTTATGATTTAGTTCTTCGGTTCTTCCAAGCTCTTTTGTAATGCCTATTACTTTCTGTTAGGGAGGATTTTTGAGACAGGGTTTCTCTGTGTAGCTCTGGCTGTCCTGAAACTCACTCTGTAGACCAGGCTGGCCTCGAACTCACAGAGATCCACCTGCCTCTGCTTCCTGAGTCATGGGATTAAAGGTATGCACCATTATCGCCTGGCTAGTAGTAGTAGTAGTAGTAGTAGTAATAATAATAATAATAATAATAATATATCTATATATATAGATATATTATCTATAATAATAAAGATAGGATCTCACTATATAGATTGACCTTGAACTCATAGAAAACTACTTGCCTCTGTCTCCCAAGTACTGGGATAGAAGCTACACCAAGTTGTCCATCACTCTCTTAATTCACCTTAGCATCTTTTGGAATCAGAAGAAAGTTGCATCCGTTAGGATGGAGTCATATTTTCATAGTCTAACCTCATTACTGTAGTTTTCTTATTCAAGGGGTTAACTTCATTTTTCCTTAGGTTTACATGCCATTCAACCTCAACTTGACAGTGTTGCTTATATTTAATGAAGGTGTGGCAAGGTTGGTGTATGGGTTCCTTTTTCTGATGCAGTGTAATGAATGAGAATGACCTCCATAGGCTCGTGTATTTAAATACTTGGGATCCAGATGGTGGTTTGGGGGAGGCTATGGAACCTTTAGCAGGTGGAACCTTGCTGGAAATACATCACTGGGGCAGCAAACTTTGAAGGTTTGCAGGCTTGTTCCACTTCTCCCCTCCCCCCAACTTCCTGGGTGCACATGCAAATATAAAAGAAAGAAAATGCAATTATCCAGCTTCCTGCTCCTGCTACCATGCCATGCATTTCCAACATCAACAGACTCTGTCACTCTAGGATCATACACGAAAATAAACTCTGTCTTCCTTATTTTACCGTTGGCTATGGAATTTTCTCACAGCAGCTACAAACAACTAATAAATATGACCCTTTCCCCAATACTTTCTGAAATCCACTGATTCCAGCATTTTCCATCCCACCCCAACTAGAATTCAATCTGTCTTCCTCTTTTAGTGACCTGTCAATCAAACTCAATAGCCCCAGCAGTTCCTCTTTGGGGAATGGGTCAATTCTTCCAGAAATATCTTTCGTGGGCATTTATTTTTATAAAAAATATTATTAGTGGGCTGGAGAGATGGCTCAGTGGTTAAGAGCATTGCCTGCTCTTCCAAAGGTCCTGAGTTCAATTCCCAGCAACCACATGGTGGCTCACAACCATCTGTAAAGAGGTCTGGCGCCCTCTTCTGGCCTTCAGGCATACAGACAGAATATTGTATACATAATAAATAAATAAATATTTAAAAAAAGATATTATTAGTTATGTACAGTGTCACACGCCTTTAATCCCAGCACTCAAGAGGCAGAGGCAGGCGGACCTCAGTGGGCTAGAGACCAGCCTGGTCTACACAATGGGTTTCAGGCTGGCCAAGACTACATAGTAAGGCTCAATCTCAAAAAATTGTTATTGTGTGTCACACATATGTGTGGAGGTTGTAACACAATTTTATGAAGTCAGTTCTCTCTCCCCACCTTTATAAGGATTCCAGGTTTGGAACTCAATTTACCAAACTTGTACAAGAATCTTTATTCACTGCACCATCTGATGGTCATTTTCTGTGAGTTTCTAAGAGCCCTCATAACCCAGATCACTCGCACAGCCTCTGGCCTACTTCAGTTTCCTTATCCTCATCAGCAAATCTGAACACTGGATGTTCCTATCAGCTTCAAGTGTCACCATACAGGCTAACAGTATTTGTGCTCAGTGGGGACTCTTACTTTAGTGTGTAAATATTGGAGGGAAATTTCTGGCTTTCATAGCACTCAAAATGATCAGCACCCCTTCTTTTCCTCTACAGATGTGCTATTTTTATATCCAAGCCTCACTGTTTCTACTGCAATAGTCTGCTATTTCCTTTATGGGTTTTTTTCTTTTGCTGTCCTGTTTTCTGTATTTTTGTTAGGGACTAAAGGACATCTCGAAGTAACATTCCCTCCAACATGCTTTCCTTTTCAAAACTTCTAATTCATTTACAAAAGATAAACACCTAATTTGGATTTGAAGAATAACAGAATAACCTCTTTATCATGACATAAACTAGTAGGAACAGGCTACATGCCTGCCAGCAATGCTTCTTAGAGGACATATTCTTACAACACTGATGCTATCTCAAGACACAAAGTCAACTTCTCCCATTTGGCCTGACGCGACAGCTTACACAACATGGAAACCATTAGGGATAAGACTTTTTAAAAAGCTGTGTTCCATATAATTTATTACATGAATTACATTTATGGCCTCCTCATGCAAAACTTTGACTCTAGTTGTTTACTAGTATATACTATAAGAATTGCCTTTAAAAAAAAAATCCAGCTGCTGGAGAAAATTTAACAATGATAATCACAAATGCTGATGATTTACCATAAAACAGATAACCATGTTAAGCATTTTTTAATTTAATTCAGTTCATATAAAACCTTATGAGGCAGCTAATATTACCATTTAAGGGTAAGAAAACAAAACTCTGCAATGCACGGGCTTCTCTATACTTCATTAATGAAATCCACCAAATCTCAGTTACGTCATCTGTCCACTGTAGACTGCTGTGCGGGGGGCTCTATCCACATCAGCTACATTGAGGATTCAGGGACTCAGCACCGATGGAAGCAAATAAAAATGACCAGTATCTAGAGTTGGCAGTCTAGGAGCAGGAGATCCTGGGCATCAGACTCTATCAATCAGAAAGGGTCTTAGAAGGAAACAAATGGCACACTCAAACAGCAAACTAAGAAGAGCTTTAGATGGTGATGTATTCCTTTAATCCCAGCACTCTGGGAGGCAGGGGCAGGCAGAGCTCTGTGAGTTCAAAGCCAACCTGGTCTAAAGAGGGAGTTCCAGGACAGCCAGGACTGTTACACAGAGAAACCTTGTCTGGAAAAAACAAGAATTAAAAAAAAAGCTTTATAAAGAGGTCATTTATAAAAATGTAGGAAGAGTGCAGGAAAACAGAAGGGAGAAGACAGTGCTTGAGGCCAGAACCAGGGAACTTACAGCCATAGGTCTGAAGGCTCAAGAGCAAGGAGTAGTTAAAAGAACCTGGAGTTGTAGGGACTGGGTTCCTTGATAGGAGCTGTTACTTCTGATGAAGAGGTACAACTGGTCTGAAAGATTCCTATACCTCCATCCTCCTTCCAGTGGCTTCACTATAGACAAATCCGAGA